ATTGCTTCATTATTTGAATAGCCCAAATTAGTTGCACTAATTTAGCATTCTTAAATTTGTAATTATTTTCATGTGAAGCAATAAACACTAGCTTTTACACAATGCATATGAACACATTATATTAATTTTCAATACTTGCTAAACTTTCATATAAGCATTAAAAATTAGAATGCTATCTAGCAGCTTGTCCTTAAGATATGAAATTTTTTTACAAGCCGGAAAAACAAGAAGATCTGCTATAATAAATTTAGTACAAAAATCTCCTGTAATAAAATGCACTCATAAGGAAAGGAGCAACATAATATGGTAGTTAAAAGCATAGATTCTGGGAGCTGACTGCTTGAGTTCAAATTATAGTTCTGCCATATACTAGCTGTGTGAACTTGGACTAGTTACATAACCTCTCTGTTCTTCAGGTTCCTCACTTCAAAAATGAGGATAATAATAGTACCTACTCCACAGGGTTCTTGTGAGGAATACATAAAGCAATCAGAACAATGCCCAGCAAACAGTAAACAATAAATGTTAGCTATTATTATTGGATTTGTATTAGTTGTCTTCGTATTAATATTAGGATTAGTATGAGTATTAGTAATATTCCAAGGAAGAAAGACATTACACATAATCATAACTAAAGCACAATATGAAAACCACATCTAGAAACTGGCAAGAAATTATACTATAAAAAGTTATAACCATATTTCTGAAGTTTTGTAATGCTTAGAAACAGAGTACATAGTTAAGCCATAATATTCATGTTCTTGATAAATTACGCACATTGCTGTTTTCCATGACACTATCCTCCAAGGTATGACATTATAGTGACCAATGAGTCTTCTAATACGGTAGACATATAAGGCAGGATTTTAACTAGCCACTACATGGAGTAGTACCTAGAAATATTTGAGACTAATAAATATTCTACCTTCATTCAAATCAGAGCCAATAAAGCTATTATCACTTTATCCTAAAATCTAATGAGGCGGCTTACAACCTGAATAAAATTTACTGCAACATAAAAACTACGTAAACCATAGTTTACTATGTTATAGTAAATATGATTCCCTTTTGCTTTCTCCTTTTCCTTTGCCCCCATCTATTCTAAATGCCTTTCATGAAAATGTATATCCAGTTTGCTCTTTGCTCTTTGAATTTTCAGACTTCCACCTATCCAGATAGCTACCCCATAGTTCCATGGCCAATTCAAGATCCTTTATCTGCTCACTCAAAAGCAAACTGCTGGCCCATAATCCACAATAGAATAACTCACATATGGTTCATCAGGAGTTGGTTCCATTTTAGAATGTAATTTTACAATTAAATTTAGATTTCACTAAACAAAGGTATCTACGTATTAATTTTCCTAATCTAACTAGATAGCTAAAAATTGGTAGGGTTCAAATATACTGTAGTAGGGCTATACCTTCAAGGACAATATCTAGACTTCTGTAGTTTATTTTCTAAATTGGATGATTATCAATATTCACATACCCATAGTAATGTTAACATTTCCTATTTCTTTACACATGCATTTACTTAATTCACAGCAATCCTTTGAGCTAGACATTATCCCCATTTTATAGATGAAGAAATTGCATAAGCACCAATGAAACAGACACTGTATATAATTTTGTCAGGTTCCTGAGGAAGTTCTTACTATCCTAGAGAAAAACCAGTTAGTGCGAAATTAATATTGCTAAGTAGATTTTCAATCTCTTCAATACTGCTAATGCAGCCCTTTACAACCTGGAATCTCTCCCACTGTCCTAAAACTTTCTCTGTGTGGCCAAAATGTATCTACAGTATTCTTATTCTAAACGTGCTAAGTGGGGAAAGGGGATATGGGTGGATCTGCATTGGCCCTATTCAGCTACCTAATAAATTCACACAGGATGCATCAAATACAGTAATAGCCAGGAACATGGCCTTTCACGACTTTTGCTAAACCTTCACCTGCCCTTGCAAAAAAAATTTTTTTGAACTTTAGAATTTATTACCTAATTACAACAATGGACAATATAACCACTTAATTAGCTTGCCCGAAACCAAATTTTAAATTGTTTATGTGTCATCTAAATGTCATAGTGTTTAACAGTTCTATATGCCACTGACAAATGGTGAAATGTGCTGAATACAATTATAAGTAAATGTACTTAAGACTGACTTGAGAAATGCAGGATCTAGTTACAATGTAGCTATAAAGTGCTGCCTTGTCTTTGCCCGCTGCTCAAAATAAAGCTGTTACCTTTCTAGCCCTGTCCGCCATGGTGCTTAGCAGCCAGGGATGCATGGTCTCAGACATGTTTACCAAGTAAAACACTGACTTGAGGGGCGCCTGGGTGGCTCAGTCATTAAGCGTCTGTCTTCGGCTCAGGTCATGATCCCAGGGTCCTGGGATCGAGCCCCACATCGGGCTCCCTGCTCAGCGGGGAGTCTGCTTCTCCCTCTCCCACTCCCCCTGCTTGTGTTCCCTCTCTCGCTGTGTCTGTCAAATAAATAAAATCTTTAAAAAAAAAAAAAAAAAAAAAAGACTGACTTGAGAAAAAAATTCAGTTTAAGATTGAATGTTTTTGCTTCCAAGGTTTAGCTACAGAAGTAAATAAGCTGAGTGCTTTAATATGAATCAAAACAGCGTTTGAAAAATAAAATATTTTTCTATCAGTTCTCTGAGAAGCACAAAGGCAAAATTACTTCTTTTGCAGCAAAATTACTTTATACAATTTGTGCAGAAATGTCAGTATATGTAATGATTATAGGAGGGTAAGGGGTGGGGGGAGAAACCTAGAATTTTATTAAAAAAATAAAATTAAAAAAAAAACAAAGTATGCCTCAAGGCATACCTATAGGAGTGCAGTGAAGAAAAATTTTTTTCCATATTTGGAACTTTTTTTCTTTTTAAGGGTAAAGCTCAGAACTGATACAAGAATTCTTTTTTTTTTTTTTTTTAATATGTGTTAGGAAACACTCTCCTAGAACCACAACATCTTTTTTTTTTTTTTAAGATTTTATTTATTTATTTGAGACAGAGAGAATGAGAGAGAGCACATGAGAGGGGGGAGGGCCAGAGGGAGAAGCAGACTCCCTGCCGAGCAGGGAGCCCGATGCGGGACTCGATCCCGGGATTCCAGGATCATGACCTGAGCCGAAGGCAGTCGCTTAACCAACTGAGCCACCCAGGCGCCCCTGATACAAGAATTCTTGTTAACTACAGGTTAAACTCTTAAAGACTCTCAACTTTTTCTTTCTCTCCTTTACTGAAGTTTTTATTTCTAAAGCACTTCTCTGCTTTAACATGGAATATTCAAAATATAAAACTTACACATGTCATTTAAGAGGGTAAGAGCAACCATTATATAAGAATGCAAATACATATAGGTTCCAATCATAATGGAAATGTAGCTGAATATCTAACACTTCATCTGAAAGGTGTTTTCATATCTAACACTTCATCTGAAAGGTGTTTCGTAAACTAAATCCTAATTATCAAAATGGTTAACAAAAAATCTCATTGAATGTGTTCATTTACTTCCAGTTATTTTTGGCTAAACTAAACTTTGTTCAATCATTCTGCGAATGCTTATCATTTATCATGTGGTAGATAATAAGGGTACATTGGGGAAGAAAAATTGAGATGGTACCTACAATTTGTTTGATATGCCCTTATATTTTTTAATAGTTTTTATTTTTTTAAACTTAAACTCCATTAATTAACATAGAATATATTATTAGTTTCAGAGGTATAGGTCAGTGATTAGTCTTAAATAACACCCAGTGCTCGTTATACCATGTGACCTCCTTAATGTCCATCACCCAGTTACCCCATCCCCCATATACCCTTATATTAACCAGTACAGAAAGTTCTAAAATCTTACAGTATTGATACTTGATAAAAATATTTCCCCAAATATGCATTATTTATAATCCACAAATCATAATTCAGTAATATTCCAAAGAAAAGTTCTAATAACAGAGAGGGTTATCTGGCACAGAAATATGCCAGCAAAAACGAACAATCTATTTCATTAATCTTAAATCACACTACCTAAATATGGAATTTAATGTTCTTACATAATGCTCAAAGTATTTTTCTTTTAATCTGTTCCCGAATGCCTTATTATATTAAAAAAATTGATTTTTATATCACTTGGCATTTTATGTGCTTTGATAGAGTACATTTTGCTTTATTAAACCACAATGTGTTTAGGCAGCACTAAAGTATTAAAACATGCATCTTAAAAGTGAAGAGGTTTTTTGCCAACAGTTTTAAATTCCCCATGATAATCAGAAGGTTTAAAAATACTGTAAACCAGTAAACTGAATCAACATATAGATGTCCTATTGTGATCTTTCACACACAACCCTCCAAATGCATTAGTGACTTTAGCTATAAATGGAATACATACAAATACATAAATAGTATGTATTCTGTGTTAAATATAAACATGTAATTTCATCAAGAACATTTCTATTTAATCAAGCTCATTGATATCAACAAATAAGCAAAACAAAAACCTTCGTGTGAAGTGGAGATAGAAGAGTGAGAGTTGGGAATGACTATAATGTGGACGGGTTTCTTTCTGGGGTGATGAAAGGGTTCTAAAATTAGACTGTGGTGATGGCTGCACAACTCCGAATATACTAAAAACAACCCAAAGCATGCTTGAAATGCATGAATTTTATGATATGTGAAATAGATCTCAATAAAAATGGGACTGAAAAACCCTCCATATAAAAAAATTCTTCAAACTCCAGTCTCTAAAAGCATCCATGGGTATAAAATTATTGCTTCCCTCACTGTTCAATTATTGTATCATCCCTCATTTTATTCACTAAGAAAGCTACCAAATGCAAAGGTAACAATGGAAATTTTAACACCTGTCTTTGGATGGTAGCATTATATCTCAAATCATTCAGTTTTCCCTAGTGGGTACCTTAAATAATTACTACTTCACATACCTTTAAAACAAATCTCTCCAAAAACTCAATATAGATTCTTATACCTGGTAATCCAAGATGCTGAATCCCAAGCCTTTATGATCTTTTACGAGTTCAACAATCTTGACTTCAGGAGACCATAGTGCTAATTCCCCATCATCATCATCTTCAGTATTGATGCCTACACTGTGGTCAGCCTGAAAAAGATAAATGCTTCAAAACATTGTCCTTTCAATTCTGAAAAGAATTAACATATCAGGAATCTCATAGCTTCTTCTCCAACTGGGAATTCTCTTTGGCATGCATACTTTATCTTTTTAATCTTTTCAGAAGGGGCATGCCCTGGGGCATACACACTCTAGTATAAGATCTTCATGGAAATTCAAGTACTTAAAAATACAGACTATTCACAGGGCGCCTAGGTGGCTCAGTTGGTTAAGTGACTGCCTTCGGCTCAGGTCATGATCCTGGAGTCCCGGGATCGAGTCCCGCATCGGGCTCCCTGCTCGGCGGGGAGTCTGCTTCTCCCTTTCCCACTCCCCGTTTGTGTTCCCTCTCTCGCTGTGTCTTTCTCTGTCAAATAAATAAAATCTTAAAAAAAAAAAAAATGCAGACTGTTCATAGAGTTGGATTTTTTTAAATGTAAAGTACCTGTTTCATTCAAAATATTAACACTGACCTCTTATACTTCAATGAGTTCTGTCATCCCATTAGAAGCATAAAAGGAAAAATAAGCAATTTAAGAAAAAAAATGAAAATACCATATAAAATCAAAGCTTATAAGATATTTAGGTAGCAAAACATGAACTCATAATTACAGTGAAAGATAGAAAGATGCCAACAGAGAGAGAGGATAGTACAAGACACAAAAGAAACCACTTCGTTGGCTTCTGGAAATTTTCAAGAAAAACTTCACTAGGAAAAGTGGAAAAAAATCCAAGTCCTTGGGAATCATCTAAGTCTAAAAAACTGGTAAAAAAAAAAAAAAAATCACTGAGTTGAAATAATGAAAATCTCATCTTGGAGGATCTAAGTCAGCAAAACTATCCAATACACAAGTCCTTGGTTATTTTCCTTGACTTCATACGCCCAAAGCCCCTATTCCAGGCTCCCCCCTCCTTTCAGGGAGAGTCACTGCTACAGGGACTTCTAGGAAGCTCAAGGATAGCGGGTAAATGAGTCGACTACACAGAAGAAGAGCTACTTCAAACTTCAGTTTTTATTACTATTTACAGCACTGTTTTGCGTTTTCATATGATTTATCTTCCTCAAAATACTCAACATCTATCTGAAGCTCAAAGATTATCTTCTTTTTCTTTGTAGCCCTAGCAACTAACAAAATGACAAGCTAGAATGGAAACTCTGTGTGGGCTACCATGGGGTTTACCAATAGCTATCCACTCAGCGCACAACAGAGCTCGGCTCACAGTAGGCGCTTGATAAATATTTGTCCAATACATTAACAAATCATCCATCTTTGACTGCATATCCCTTGAAACTTTTTAAATAAAGCTACAGACTAAATAGTAATCTTTAAAAATAGACTTCTTAAAACTTAGAGTGCTCTTAGTAAATAGAATCAAAGTGCATCATTCCCAGGAACATAATTTTTAGTGACTTGCATTAGAAAATCCACTTAATGAAATCAAAGGGAGGGGACCCATCTAATATGGAAGAGTAAGGCACCATAGCAAGTACAAAAACATTTTTTAAATTAGGGTTGGTCCAGATCTCAAACTGTCCCCGCAGGACATGGAAAGTCAAAACTCAATCCATGGTGGATTGAGTCTAAACATGGGAACAATTTCTGGGTTCTTGAATTACAAAACTTGAAATTAGTGGGATGTTCTGGATCAATAACCTCTGTATATATCAGTCTGATGTGAGGAAATGATATTTAAAAAGAAAACATTTTTATACCTTCCAATAAAAAGTAAAGTTCCAATAGCTAATATAATATGATGTTTTACTGGGGCATTTAATACCCTCACTCATTAATGAGCATTAGAATTCTGGCTGAGCTGCCTAACCAGATAAGGTTTAAGAACCTAAGATGATATGGGGATAAATGAAAAAAGAAAAAAAAAGAAAAGCCAGGATTTTAAGAAACCGCACACACTTATAAAGCCTAAGTTTACAGAAATTTTAAAGCATCCAAGGTATATAAGATATTATACTCCAACCTGAGATACATCACTTTGATACAATCAATTCTGTATAACTCCTGTATTTACAGAATAGAAAGCAATCAACTAATGGGCAGCAAGGCTGACATTTAGAATAATTCAAAGCTGTTGTTTACCCATTGTGGTAAAGGATGACAGATGGGAGCACTGAGTCAGCAAGCTGGGTGATTTACACACCCTGTAAGATTAGATTAAAGGCATTTTTATCAATCTTTAGAGGTAAGCCCTCATCCACATGAATTTTAGCAAAGATACTAAGAATCACAAAAGTGGTATTCAAGTTCCTTCCCTGAAATAGGTTTTACCAAAGATAAACATTAAGAAAAAAAAGATTCTCGGGGCACCTGGGTGGCTCAGTCAATAAGCATCTGCCTTCGGCTCAGGTCATGATCCCAGGGTCCTGGGATGGAGCCCCGCATCGGGCTCCCTGCTCGGGGGGAAGCCTGCTTCTCCCTCTCCCACTCCCCCTGCTTGTGTTCCCTCTCTCGCTGTGTCTCTCTCTGTCAAATAAATAAAATCTTTTTAAAAAAAAAAAAAAAGATTCTCAATCAATAATGGACTAAGCAATTCTTATACACCCGGTACAGAATAAACACACTATGAGACACAAAATAATTTTAAGATACGACTCTGCTCACAGGAGCTAAGTTTTCTTGTAAAAGCAAGCTTAATACACATGAAAGCATCTGTGACCATAAGGCAGGGCTAGCCTCGCACATACTTCAGGAAATCAGGAAACAAAGATGGCTGGACTGGAGGAGTCAAGAGCTATAATTAACTTTTCCAGAGCACTTCTCATGTGCAAGGCATTGCACTAAGAGCTGGGCATATATTACTTCATTTCCTTCTCACACAAACTGATGAGGGCAGTAAGTACTATAAGTATCCCCAATTTTCAAAGAAAGAATATGAACAGAAAGTCAAGTTATTTGCTCAAGAATTCACTAAGTGGTAGATGCATGATTATCTTGAAACTCAGACCACAGGCAGGTAAAGGGAAGGCTCTGTGTGTCTAAACTGGTGTTAATGGGTGGCTCAGTTGGTTAAATATCTGCCTTCAGCTCAGGGCACCTGGGTGGCTCAGTTGGTTAAATGTCTGCCTTCAGCTCAGGTCATGATCTCAGGGTCCTGGCATCAAGCCCTGCATCAGGCTCCCTGCTCAGCGGTGAGTCTGCTTCTCCCTCTCCCTCTGCTGCTCCCCCTGCTTGTACACTCTCTCTCTGTCAAATAAATAAAATCTTAAAAAATATATAAATAAATAAACTGGTGTTAAGGAACTATAATCTGTAAGGGAGTGGGGGTAGGGTAGGGGAAGTGGCATAAGAGATGACGTTACAATTGGCATAAGATGGCAAAGCACAGGGGCACCTGGGTGGCTCAGTCGTTAGGCGTCTGCCTTTGGCTCAGGTTGTGATCCCAGAGTCCTGGGATCGAGCCCCGCATTGGGCTCCCTGCTCCGTGGGAGGCCTGCTTCTCCCTCTCCCATTCCCCCTGCTTATGTTCCCTCTCTCGCTGTCTCTGTCAAGTAAATAAATAAAATCTTAAAAAAAAAAATGGTAAAGCACGTGTTTAAAACTGTTTTTATAATCACAATGTTCTTAAAAAAAAAAAAAAAGTACCAAGAGCACAGAAAATGTTATTTTATTCTCTGACCTTCTGAAGGCTTTTACAGCAATTTTTACTCACTTCGAAATTGGTCATAGATCTTCATATTTCTAAGGCTCTGAAAAAGGGAAGTCCATTAGATATTCAACACTCACCAACATCTTAAGTTTAAGATGAACTGAGTTGAACTGGGAGCCAAAAGTAATGAGCCCAGGAAATTACTAAAAAAACATTCTCTAAAATCGAAGTGCATGCACATTAATGTCACCAACATTTCAAGTAAAAAGAAAAAAAAGAAGAGAAAAAGTTTTATGATGTGAAACGAAAAGTAAGGGTTTGTAAAGCTATGCATTATTGCCCTTGAGCGCTACTGTAGTCAAATAAAAGAAGATGGAAATTTCTCCCCTCCTTTCATATCCAAATACACTCTTCAGGGCATTCTTGATGAGTGCTCATTCCTATGGGAACCATAGAATATTCAGCTAGTACCTCCATCTTGGGAAGAGGGGCTTCAGTGTTCCTTGGTTCATCCACAGAAGCTTCATCATCAAATAATCGTCGACAGCAAACCAAGGTAAAGGGAGGAGGCACCTCTTTGAGAAAAGAGACTGCTTCTCGGCGAGATTTCCCATACAGTTGCACGCCATTGACCTAGAAAGACAAGTGATAAGTCAGAATTGAGCCGGCCCCGAAGAAAAAACCAAAGTCCCATGCTCACGTGGATCTATCCAAATAAAAACCGGATTGTTTTATTTTCCCCATGAACAAAGGGTCTAAACGTAACCACATTATTTTAGTAGTAACTAAAAACATTAGAAATCAAATGTATAAAAATTAAGGCTAAACCTTTATTGAATTTCAGTGAAGAAAGTCTAAGATGTGTGCAGATGACAAGTGATCTAATTTTTCACACCTCCATGGTTTCTCTTTTCTACCCTCCAATGTTGAATTCCCTCATCTACTTCTATACATCTCTCCTTAAATACACTAGATATCATTGCTAGCCTTCCTAAGACCACCTCCTTTTGCTTTTTCATTTCATAAAAGTATCATTATAGATATTCACACTAATTTGAAAGCTGTAATTAAAAACCGCTCAATTTACAATGTGTAGGTAAGAAAATCTAGGATACTCAGCTGTCAAAATTTAGCATCACTAAAAAAAAAAAAAAAATTTAGCATCACTTTTCACAATTTTCTTTCACATGCCATAAACTTTTTTTTAATTTAAATTCCATTAGCCAACATATAGCAAATCCTTAGTTTCAGATGTAGAGTTCAATTAATTCATCAGTTGCATATAACACCCAGTGCTCATCACATCACATGGCCTCCTTAATGCCCATCCACCCAGTTACCCCATTCCCACCCCAACCTCCCATCCAGCAACCCTCAGTTTGTTTCCTAGAGTTAAGAGTCTCTCATGGTTTTTCTCCCTCTCTGATGCTTAATACCATCCTAGAGAAATCATATCTATAGAAATACATGTAAGTTTCCCTCCCTTCTATTCTTACATGTTCTGCTCACACAGCCGTCAAGTATAGGAGGTGTGTCAGTTTTCAAATTGTCTGATGTGTGTTCCATATGCTTAAAAGAACAAAATGATAACCAACTACTCCTAATGCTTCGCACTTATCACCATAAAATTATCTAAGTTTCATATTTTAGTGCACAGTAATAATATTTTGCACCAAAGATGACTTAGAAAGATAAACCTATTCTAATTTTTTATCTATTTGACTTAAGCTCCAGAAGCTCTCTCAGTTCTGACTCAATGCCACTAAAACTGATCTGCCTGCTACTGCCCAAAAGCTGAGGCATGAACATAATCCAGGCATTAACCCAATCTTTTCCCATCTGACTCCTACCTTCCTGGGAGGGTTCAGTGGCATTATTAGTTTTAAAGATATTTCTGGGCGGGCATCAGTTTCTGACAGGTGCCATGCTAATGTCCAGATCACTGGCGGGGCTGACTTTCCTGGGAGAAACCTTTGCACAGAACCTGTCCTTCTCCGAGAATATGACACTGTGGGTTGTTGCAAGCATCTCCGCGGCAGCGGCCTGAGCCCCAAGTCAATCATCCATGGGAGTCACTCTCAGGCCCTCAACATACAAGCACTTAGCCGTCAGGCCAGACATCATCTCTCTGCCTCTTAATTATTTACAGAGATATCACAACAGAGTAAAGAGACCCATATGTGCTTCAGGGAGCTGGTCCTGGTAGAAAAGTCAATATCATCTCCCAGGACTTTCTGACTGATGAAAGAGATCCGGGGAACAGCAAGTTCAGCAGCTGATAAAGGTTTTTCCTCAGAAGAACTCAAAGTCAACCTTCACTGGTCACATCATGTCCCCAGTGCCAACTGGTGCCAAAACACAGAAAGTTCTCAAATCATCCAAATGTGCAGTGCCCTATCCTGAGAAGCAAGCAAGCGGGTATAACCAAAGCCAGGAATTCTCCCCATATGCAAGTCTTAATTTGTGTTTCACATTACTTCAACAAATTAGAAAATCACTTTTCAGGTTTTTATCTTGGAGTACATTTAAATATTTATTTAGCTCATTATTTATTCATTTGAATCGTCTCCAATTATTATAGCAGTGCCTGGTAGTCCTCCTCACTACTCTCCACTGTTAAAGGGATTGGTCACATTTCCCATTACCATTACCCCTATCTAAGAGGATTTATGGCTGCTGTAAATAGCTGCTCTGGGCTAAGACTTGGAACAATGTTCTAACCCCAAAGCATATTTGTGTTTCTGGTTTTAAGCTCTAAGGAGTACACCCCCTCCACACACACACACACACTTTAGGTTCAGGAGTTTATTTGGCTAACTTTAGAGAGATTTTTTATTACTATATCTGGCTATTCAGAATAAGCCCATTTTTATTTTAGAGTTCACACTATTTCTCTAGGCCCTCCAACTTGAGACTCTCTTAAGTGCTATCAAGTCTCAATTATTCAGACTTTGTTATTAGAAAGAACACACACATACACATTTGCAGAGTACATAACACTGTACAAGTATTGTCCCACCACATTACCTCATTCAATCCTCATTCATCTTAACCCATAAAGATTGTTTATGCCTTTTTACAGTGATAATACTGCCAAGTATTATCTCTCACAGTGAGATAATGCTTTAAAGTTTACATGGAATGAGTGCAGCCACTCTGGAAAACAGTATGGAGGTTCCTCAAAAAGTTAAAAATAGAACTACCCTACAATCCCACAAACACAGTACTGGGGATTTACCCAAAGAATACAAAAACACTAATTCAAAGGGATACATGTACCCCAATGTTTACAGCAGCATTATTTACAACAGTCAAATTAAGGAAGCAGCCCAAGTGTCTAGCGACTGATGAAAGGAATGGATAAAGATGTGGTACACACACACACACACACACACACAGAGGAATATTATTCAGCCATAAAAAAGAATGAAATCTTACCATTTGCAATGACATGGATGGAGCTAGAGAATATAATGTTAAGTGAAATAAGTCAGAGAAAGACAAATACCATACAATTTCACTTGTGGAATTTAAGAAACAAATGAGGAAAGGGGGGGGAAAGACAAATCAAGAAAGAGACTCTTAAAAAAAAAAAAAAAAGACTCTTAATTACAGAGGACTGAGGGTTACCAGAGGGGAGGTGGGTGGGGAGTGGGTGAAACAGGTGAAGGGGATTAGGGAGGGCACTTGTCGTGATGAGCACAGGGTGATGTATGAATTGCTGAGTCACTATATCGTATGCCTGAAACTAATAAAACACTGTATGTTAAAATAAATAAATAAATAAAGCTTAAGGGACACCTGGGTGGCTCAGTCAGTTAAGTGTCTGACTCTTAGTTTCAGCTCAGGTCATGATCTCAGGGTTCTGAGACTGAGCCCCAGGTCAGGCTCCATGCTTAGCATTGAGTCTGCTGGAGATTCTTTCCCCCTCCCTCCCCCTCTGTTCCTCTCCACACCCACCCCCACCAGCTCGCACACTCTCTCTCAAATAAATAAAATCTTTAAAATAAAATAAAAGTTTACATTGATGATATTCCACTAGACCCTCATAAAATAATGGTGAGGTAGCCATCTATTGATGAAAAAACAACTCTCAAAAACAGTTGAGTGACATGTCAGAGGACAGATTGTGAAGCTGTGGCAAATTAAAATGCAGAGGCAGCTCTTCTGACTTCAAGCCTTTGCTTCACTCCCTATTCTCCAGTGTTTTCACCAGAAATCTTTACTTAAGAACTTCAGTATACTACCTGATTATATGTTTTGTATGCATATTTTTTCTTGGAGAAAAAGTATTTTATTATTCTTTTAATTGTAGTTAACAGAACGCTGTATATTAACTACACTGAAATTAAAATTTAAAAAAATTGTAGTTGACATACCATGTTACTTTCAGGTATACAATACATGTATATTTCTCCCAAAAAAAAAAAGAGAATCAAACTGGTTTTTACTAATTCCACTTCTCTCCACACAAAAATATCTCCTTTCTCAATACCTAAAAACTACAGAAATGGTCTCTAATCTATAGATTATCATGTTTGATATCCATAAAGCTATGTATGTGCCCCAACAATCAAAAGATATGATCTCAGTACCAAAACCAAAACAATAAACAAAAAACAAAACAAAAAAACCCTAAGTCATGTAGTAAAACCTAAAGACATTATTCCACAATAAGCATCCCAGTAGGATTCCCTGAGCACTTCTAAAAATAAGCTGCTTACTACAGCTTAAAACAGGACTCCAACATCTTGCCCTCCTATGCTTATAACAAAATTTAACCACTAGTCATAGCAACTTTCCCTCTGACCTCAAAAGTCAGCCCAGAATTCTCAACATACTTCTCTAGGTGGCCAGACACTGCTCAAAAATGCAGCTGCACCCAACAACCCTATTTGCTATCCTTGTCATTTCACTTTGAGTAAACATCAACCTTAGAAAGACATCTCTAAAATCAAGGCCCATTGGAGTCTAATCTTGGCTAAGGCTACAAGGTTGATTCTATTAAACCCAAGTTAGAACTTCTTGTGGTTCCTAACTCTTGGCAGAACCTTCTTTTACATAGCTTTAAGTCTGACCATTTCCCACATTTATTTTTTTATAAGCTTAGGAAGTAGTGTATTTGAAAAAACAGTGAAATGGGAGGTAGAAAACATGAACTAAAGTCATCATGCTATGAGTATATAAAGTTGGGGAAAATCAATGCCTTATTTTCCTGTCTTTAAAATTAGGGGATTCAATGCTGTTTGTTACATTAGCTCTAAGACCACCCAATCTAACAAAATCTCTCAAGAAGGTTATATCAAAGCAGAAGTGCTCTAGAATTGCTCTAGCTGAAGACAGGCTGGGGAGCCTGAGTGAGCCCACAGAGGCTGCCATGTTGGGGAAGCAAGTCCCAAGGAGACAATCTGAATACCAGTCAGTAATACATAAGCCTAATACATTAGCCTATCCAGGGGCGCCTGGGTGGCTCAGATGGTTAGGCGTCTGCCTTCGGCTCAGGTCATGATCTCAGGGTCCTGGGATCGAGTCCCGCATCGGGCTCCCTGCTCCTTGGGAGCCTGCTTCTCCCTCTGCCTTTCTCTCTCGCTCTGTCTCTCATGAATAAAAAAAAAAAAAAAAAAAAAAAATACATTAGCCTATCCAGCTAGTCTAATTCTTATTAGAAATAACCAATAAAACCTGCAAGTGAATGTGTCTACATGTTGCAAACAAGGGGTAGGAATTTGTCTCTTAAGAATTTTGCTGGGACACATGGGTGGCCCATCAGTTAATCGGCTTGGGTCATGATCCCAGGGTGCTGGGATCGAGTGCCGCATCTGGTTCCCTGCTCAGCAGGGGGCCTGCTTCTCCCTCTGCCCCTCCCCTTGCTTGTGCGTGCTCTCTCTCTGACAAATCAATAAAATCTTTAAAAAAGAAAAGAAATTTGCTAAAAAAATCCTAATTATGCTATTAAACTAAAACAGGACATTAGCTTCTTTCTCAATCACTTAAATAAGCACTCAAAAGAACATCTAAGGAGTCCCAAAAGATGGGGAAAATGAACTGAAAGCATATTATCTATTTTCTTTATCATTACATAGGCTGTATTCTTCTTTGCCTTTATTTCATTTTCTCCAGTTTTATTGAGATAAAATTGACACACAACATTGTGTAAGTTTAAGGTGTACAATGTGATGATTCGACATACATCTATATTGTGAAATACTGTCACAATGAAGTTAGTTAACACATTCATCACTCACATGGTTACCATTTTGTGTGTGTGGTGGGGGGGTGGTAAGAACATTTAAGATCTTCTCTTACAGCAACTTAGGGACTATCGTTAACAATACTGTGTTGTATACTTGAAAAGATAGTCCCCATCAAAAACTAATGATGTAATATATGGTGACTAACATAATAAAATAAAATTTAAAAGAAAAAAGAAAAGATAGTCCCCAAGTATTTTTCAATGTAAGTAGTTCACATTACATTGGCAGTAATGTAATTCAGTGTATTTCTAGTAAAAATACATTTTCCTACAACTCAGAAATTACTGTCCTGTGTCTTTTATCTCTCAGAAATTTTACCTCAAGAAGCTCATCCTCTGGCTGCAGGAGGTTCAGTGTATCAACAGGACCACCTGGAGCAACTGAAGAGATATAATGGTGCCCATCAAAGGAATCCACTTCCATGCCAAGCCTCAGAGTATGAATCGGCAGCAGCTGTAGCAAAACACAAAGCAACAACATCAGACCTGACAAGGGCATATCCAGCTGTTAATCCTCCATCAAGTATTATTTTGACATGAAAGTCCCACCTCTTGAATCAGATCATCAAGGTCCCAATGGAGGACAATAATGGGAAAACTAGCCACCAATAAAATATGAATAATTTGTCTTCTTGCTCTTACTCCTCTTTTCCTTTCAGATTCCCGATAGAGAGACGGATGTACAGTCCTGCCTTCAATTCTAAGCATCAGGCATTCCAAATTTTCTATAGTTCCCAGTATGGATTCTAGGTTTCACTTTTCTGCAGGGCTTCCCATCTCTCAGAACATTCTAGTTCCTCCTTATTACCTAATTTCCACTCACACTTCAATCCTAAGGCAGTGTCACTTCCAGGAAGTTCTTCCTGATATCTGAGTTAATGTGCCTCTGTTTGGGGTCCAAGACCACCTTGTATAGATCTCCATCACAGCTCATAACCTACTGTGTTTAGAATTTCTGTTTTCTTGATTGTTCCCCCTGCTTAAGTGCAAAGTTTGTATCTTCTCTCTATAACCTCAGACCCCACAATAGTACCAGGCACAAAACATGGACTCATTAAATATTTTTTTGAACTAATCTGTGAAAAATGATGCCTCACCCAAGAACTCCTTTTCTGGGGCACCTGGGTGGCTCAGTCGTTAAGCATCTGCCTTTGGCTCAGGTCATGATCCCAGGGTCCTGGGATCGAGCCCCGCATAGGGCTCCCTGCTCAGTGGGAAGCCAGCTTCTCCCTCTCCCACTCCCCCTGCTGTGTTCCCTCTCTCACTGTCTCTTTCTCTGTCAAATAAATAAGATCTTAAAAAAAAAAAAAAAAAAAAAAAGAACTCCTTTTCCATCTCACCAACTTTAGTGGGAACAATTTCCAGTTGGGGAAGGGTGGCTATGTAATGAGGAAGGCAATCATTATTCCATCCTAGGATTGACACTGTTGGCTTAGAAGGATTCATATGGGCTCAGATATGAGTCAAGGGTTAAGAAACTCTAGCCCATGTCAAGGTAAAGAGATGACACCTGGTGTTGTTGGCTGTAAAGGTCAAATGCACTCACCAAACTCTACTCCCTTGACTTTTAAAGATGGAGCTCATGATTTCTCATTGAGGCTATATAAACTCAAATGTGGTAAATGGTACTAATCATGACTTCTATTTCCTATATCAACAGTCTATTTATCTAAAAATACCAGGCCCCCCTCTAACTATATATTTGATAAGGAGAAAACCCTACACAGCATGGCAATGCATCCACAACATGGTTCTTCCTTCATATTTCCTATTCCCTGTGACCCCTTATCTCTGAGCTTGTCACCTCCCCTTAGTCATCTGCTCTGAATCCCCAGAGTTCTACAGGCTTCAGACACCATCTGGGGCTGATTTCCTTCTCACTATATACACACAGACAAATGTGAAGTGGCAAGCAGTCCAGCACACCAAGACCTCAATGACTTAAAACAGGCATGAGGGATTTCTGGCCCTGGGCTAATTTTCTGAAAATTAAGTGCTCTTGACCACCAAGCACTTCAGGATCTACAACCATCTCTGGCAATAAGATGTTCTAATGCTCTAAATGGAAGATTAGCATTGTTTTTACTCTTGTTTCCTCTCTGTGATTTCTTTATTTCTCACTGTGGTCCCTTCATCCTCTTGCCGAGTCACTGTACCAAATCATGCATATCAAACCAGAAGACGACATCGGTTTTATTAATGTTGGTGGGTTTTGTTTTTTTGTTTGTTTGTTTTTGTATTTTTAGTCTTTTAATAGTTAAAAAGGTTAAATAAAAACTCTCAGACAAATGTTTCTGTAAAGAAAAACTAACCCATCCATGTCTGCCAACTCTCTCCCTTCCTTTGTTTATGAAGCAAACACTGGGGCAGAGTGGTCAGTATGTCCAACCATAGGTCATCCCCAGTGGGATGAAGACTGCTTGCAAGAACAGATTGCTCAATTTTCAGGAATTTTGCAAGTCAGCTGTTAAATGTAGCCATCACTAAAAAATAAATTCTATACAGCTACAGTTAAATAAATGATATTAAAAATAAATCTAATAAGTCTTCAAAATCCATCACTTCCTAATTATTTTTACCACACTATCTACCTTCTTTAAGGGACTACTATGTACAGTGGAAATACTATCTAAATACTCTATATGCTACTGAAGGGGTGAACTGAAAGACAAATGAAATGGATGATTTGTTGAGTTGCTAAATGAAGCTGGGCAAGGTAATTAAATAGCTCTGTTCCCACAGAGAAATCTGAAACGATGAAGTGCTATTGTGAATCGTTTCCCAACTTAGTGTCAGTGATGTCATTCAGGTAGCTTGAAATCTGCCATGGTGGGATTATTTACACCACAGGTACTGGTAAATACTACAAATTTGGACTGCTTTTCGTTTGATTTTTTTTTTTTAAGATTTTATTTATTTATTTGAGAGAGAAAGAATGAGACAGAGAGAGCACACGAGAGGGGGGACGGTCAGAGGGAGAAGCAGACTCCCTGCCGAGCAGGGAGCCCGATGCGGGACTCGATCCAGGGACTCCGGGATCATGACCTGAGCCGAAGGCAGTCGCTCAACCAACTGAGCCACCCAGGCGCCCTCGTTTGATTTCTTTTGCTGTTTTGAGAGCTAGACATTTACAAGCATACCACCGATCTACAATCTAGTCTGGACATGATATGCAGCATATATTTATAGGATATAAACTATGTGCAAGGATTTGCGTTATGGGCTGGAATCATAAGGTGAATGAAAGAAACAGTCCTGACCCCCCACAGAACTAACATCAGTGTGAAAGACAGACAATAAATAAGCAAGAGGGCAAGCAGACACAAACAAGTAAGAAAACAATTCGCCAACAAGGGCACCTGGGGGGCTCAGTTAGTTAAGTGTCTGACTCTTGATTTCGACTCAAGTCATGATCTCAGGGTCATGAGATTGAGCCCTGAGTCAGGCTCTGTGCTTCTCAGGAGTCTGCTTGAGATTCTCTCCCTCTGCCCCTCCCCCTGCTCACATTCCCTCAATCTCTCTCTCAAACAAATCAATCTTTAAAAACAACAAAAAGAAAACAATTCACCAACAAACAAGCAAAAACCAAATAATTACTAATTGTGATAAATGCTATGAAGGAACTAATCAGGGTCAAGATACCACACACGACTGGTGGAGGTCATTTTGGAAAGTTGGTCAGGGTAGGTTTCCCAGAGATGGGGACATGTGTGGTAAGAATTGAAGGGTAAGAACACATCAGTCCTACAAACAGCCTGCTAGGGGGCTGCTTGTGGAAGGTCAATGAAAGAGGTAATGGCTAAATTTTTGTTCGAGCAACTGAGTAGATGGTGATAGCAATTTCTGCAAGAAAGTACCCAAATTAAAACAAAGACATTGCTGTACATACAAACTGTTGCTACTTACATAAAAATACGCCCCCATAAAAAATAAAAGGATTAAGGAGGGAACTGATCCAGTCTCCTCACTCATCCCCCCTTCCTAATCCTGACCTATTCATGTGGCTGACCCTACTCCCCACCACACCCATGCAACTGCTGAAGTCAGGAACAGGCTGGAGCACAGAGGGTCACCCATGGAATCCCTTGCCTTCCAGATACAGGGCTGTACCCTCGTAGGCAATTCTCCCACATCTATAAACAGCACACACTCCCCAGAAACTTAAACCATGAACAAAACACACATGCTCCATCTTCAATCACGCTGAACAAATAAACCAGAGATGATGTTTACGAAATCTGTCAATCTGAAAGAGGCCTACCTAATATTAGTTCTGAATCTAAATCTGAGTACAGCTGGGTTTTTGAGACTTCACGTTACATTGCTGCAGGCTTCTCTGCGGGAGCGGGACTGTTTAATTACCTGTCCCAGCTGCATTTAACTCAACAAATCAACCGTTTCATCTGTCTCTTTCAGTTGTCCATCCCTTCGGTATTCTGAGTTCTTAGAGAGCAGAAAGTGCTAAAATGACAGAAGTGGGTGCAACAGACAGATGATTGATGCCTTCACAAACATCCCATGTTATGCTTTATTGATGCTTATTCAAAGTGCTTTGCAAGGGGTCCTATTTAAATTTACAAAGTTAATGAGCGGCAGGGTTTTCATGATCCTGATGTGACAAGTAAAAGATAACAAGGAAATATATCCAAGGAAGAGTATGACCACTGTGTGATTTACTGTCAGTGCTAAAATGATGAAGATCAAATGAGACCAAGCAAGCTAGAGCCCTTCAACCTGTGAGTGGAAAGACCTGTCATGAAGCAAACCACAGTTCATTCATTTTGCTAAAAGCTCTACTTTTAGGACCCTAAAACAAGATATCAGAATGCTCAAGTGAGAATATAAATGATGTTGCTTCGGGGGAAAAAAACCCTTCTGGAGAGGAACAGATATGTCAGTAGGATGGGGGAGGATGCTTCCAAAAAAGCTAAACTCAAAATAGGACAGAAAGAGCCCCATGATTGGTTCTTGTAACACACACACACAGATGTTAAATGCCACTTATATTTAAAAGTTAGAGGGAAAGAAGTACTAATTTTACCATAAATAAAAAACAAACTTTCCAAGAATGAAGTTACAACCTTTTAACAGTGAAACACAGCATAAGCTTCTCGCCCATTTAAAATTTTTAATTCTGAATATTCAAAAAATACACATTGTGTGCTCTTTTGTGCAGAAATACAATGAAGGTTCTTTTTAGTGGCCTAACACCAAGGTCAAGAGTCAATTGGCATTTATCATTTTGTTTTATCATTATCATTTTAACTATCACTGATGTTACCTGCCTAGCCCACACGGTATTTGAGCTTTTGACACCTGATCTAACACTTTGTACTTATGACTCTTGTTCTACCTTTGCTCTTGGTAGTTCCTCCACCTGGAATATCCAGTTATTTCCCAGAACCCATTCTTCAGGGTATACTTAAAGCGCCATCCTCCCAATAAACCTCCTTT